AAAAAAAAAAAAGAAGAAGAAAAAAAAAAAAAAAAAAAAAAAAAAAACAAAAAAACCGAAAAAAAAAATAAAAAAAAAAAAAAAAAAAAAAAAATAAGGGAAAATAAATAGAAAAGAAGAAAAGAAAAAGAAGGAGGATTATAATAAGAAGGGGAGAGAATAAGAGCGGATAACGAAAAGGAAAATTGAAGATGAATTTTTTTTCTTTTATATTAAAAAAAAAAAAAAAAAAAAAAAAAAAACCTTAATTAAAAAAAAAAAAAGAACCATACGATTTCTGAAGTAAACAACAACTTATTTGCAGAAACTTTACTGGAGGTTCTGATCATGCCCCCGCTATATAACAAAAGGCAAATGTTAAATGAAAAAGTCGACATAACTTACCAGCATATGTTAAAGAACCAAAAATTTAAAAATAGAATTGGAAGCTTGTTCTACGGCTTCTACTTAGGAAAATTATTAGATGAAGCAAGTCCGAAAGAACAAACTGAATGTCGAAAGAAGATTACAAAGCACTATTATACGGCTGTGATCAGAACTTACTGGTTATTCGAAACGTACAGAATCGAACAAGTATACCGAATGCAGAAGTTGATTTTATCCGATCTTGCAACAATGAAGGCAAAAGACTTTCAAAGCTTATTCTAGTTTGTGGAACGAACAAGCTAAGTGGAGAAAAATGTCATGATTAGAAATAGATCAATGATGCATTAGGCGCAAATTAGAGGATCGATTGCATAATTGTTTACATTACATAATTAGTATATTTAGCAGATGTAGCAGATTTAGTGAATATAGCATATCAGGTAGATTTAGCATAAATAATAGAATTAATTGAAATAGCATAACTAGCATATATAGTATAACTAGTATAATTAGCGAATATAGCATATTAGGAAGATATGTAATTATTATAAAAGCATAAGCATTTATTGAGCTGTAAAGTGTCTCACAAACATCGTAATTAATAAACTACATATTTGCTCCGCCAAATCGAACATCCTCTTTTGAGAAATTATAGTATTATCATTGAACATTACACAAACCTTTTTCCGGTTTATCCTACGGAGTAGGGATTTTTAGATGTACGTTTTACTAAAGTATTACACTTAGGAGAATTTTTTAGTAAAACTGATAAGCACTATAAATATTCACCTCTTTCTGAAATGGAAAGAACTTTAAAGGACATTAAAAATATACAAAAAAATTCTCAATATTCTTCAGAGGAGCTTGCTAATTGGAAAAATAAAATAACTTTATAAATTGTTGATTATAATAATAATGAGATTGTAAGTATTTATATTTATTAAGTTTTTATAAATATTAAAAAATATTAATTATAATAATTATAATTAAAATATAGCTAACTTTAGTATTAATATATATGATAAATGGATTGAATTACAAAAAACTAATATAAATAATAATGAAAGTGATGATATATTAACAAATGAAGATGATGATTTTTATATATATTCTAAAAATGAAGAATATAATAAAAATAGTAATTTTGTAGATGATATTTTAACTAATGAATATTCAGAGGGTGAAGAATATAATAAAAATAGTAATTCTAATGATGATATTTTAAGTAATGAATATTTAGAGAATGCAGATAATAATAATGAAACAACTAGTAATTTTGCAAATAATCAAATTAGAGATTTTGATAATAAAACAACTAGTAATAATGATGAAATAAATAGTAACAAATTTACAGATGATGAAGTAACTAATAAAAACTTTGTAAATAACAAAATAAGTAGCTATAAATCTACTGATTAGGATAGAGGCCGAGCTTTGTCGGGCCCAAACCTAAGCCCACAAAATATTTTTGAGCCCAAGCCCAGCTCATAAAAAAAAAGCCTGCAATAGTAAGCCAGGCTAGGCTTATCTTAAAATTAGGCCCAGCCAGTTCAGCCCATCCACCAAATTATTTTTATAGAACATCTAGTTGGCTGATGAATGTATATAAATCAATTGTACAAGTATTTATACTTTTAATATGAGAATCGATCATATATAGTGATGTGTCGTTTATATGATAGCCCAATTTTTTTTGTATATATACAGTATACAGTATATAGGTTATAATTAGAAATAGATTTGCATTATTACTATGAAAAAATCTTTAATATTAGGAATGGAGTTATGAATATCAGAATCATCTAGGACGGCCCCCAAAAATGCAGTGACGTAGATTATGATATATATACATATGTACATACATATGTATTGCAGAATAAGTATTGGATTATAATTACTAAAAAATGATCAACAATATATAGCTAGAAGAGAGCCAATAAGTGGTACTAACTAATCTTACGTTATTTCATTTTTGGGGCCATCCTGGATAATTCTGAATATTGTGAAGTGTATAGTTTATTTAAGGGTAGGGTGAATGTAGATCATTTTTTATATAAGGATATTGACTAAAAAAATTTTACCCAAAAATTGAATATAAGTTACATATAAAAGTTTTTAAAAATCCAATTTTTTTTTGTAAAATTTTTACAGTATATACATTAAACTTATCTAATTATAATAATAGAATTTGAACCTTTATTATATTTGAAAAAAATATACTTACATATATCGTTAATTCTTCCTAACTTAATCAAAATTTGCCTAAGTTACACAACATAAATAACATATGATCATCACCTGATTTTAATTAAATATTATTGTAAAAAATTTTAGTAACGTGATCACTATTGAAATGTAGATCATTTCACCCTACCCTTAAGAAAGAAATTATATATGTATACAAAATCTAATATCTGATTGGTCAGTGTGATCATAGTTGTCACATTTTATATATTCTTTAACCACTATTAAAATTAAGACTCGTCTCTATTAGAGTCATAAATCTGCATTGAAAAAAGATCATCTACTGTTAAAATTTCTGTTAATTCATGAATTTAACTACAAAATCTGAACTCTGCCATTGCTAAAATCTTTATCATTATTTGAATCATAAATATTCACTAACTTACTTATTTAAATTACTAATTTACTTACTACTAAAATTAACTAACTGATTTACTGTTAAAAATAATAAACTCACTCATTGTTCAAATCACCCATTTTTAAAATTACCAACACTTATTATTAAAATCATTATTCTATCCACTATTAAAATTGTTAATCATCCATCATTGCAAATCAAAAACTTACACATTCATTTTTTAAATTATGATCTTACCCATTATTGCAATCATAAAATATAGAAAACAGACAAATAAATCTTCATAGTGTCAAATATTAGTATAGATTGTTCGTTATTTACAAAAAATGCATATTGACTAAGCTATACAGATACATATTAAAGTTTTGTACCCAACACTAACCATTTATCAGCCAATTCTATCACCCAAGCTTTATCAATAAAATGATTGTTAATAAAATAATTTATAAAATTGATTTATACTATAATTATACTAAATTTTTAAAACAATGACTGAAAATTTTCTTTTTATTATTTTCTTTATATATATTGTAATTAAACATATTTACTAGGGTGTGGCAACTTAGAGTAGTGGTTAAGTTGCTACCCCCCAAGCGGCAGGTTTAGAGTTCGAATCCCACCAGATATTTTTAGAAAAATAGGCCTGTATTCTGGTAACAATTATTCGTCAATTAGTTGGGTATATTACTTGTAATCTTGGTATTACCATCTTAAAATAGAAGCTCTTGGGTGATCCAAATTCAAGGAACCAGAATAATTGAAACCCATTTGGCAAGACCTTAATAAGGAGGTAGTGAAGTTCTTCGACAATACTGTGAAAAGTCAGAACCAGAGACCAAAGAACAGGATGAAAGCCCAGGTGTAAGAAGAGTCTACCAACTTGGCCGCTGAAGCCACACTGGAGAAAAAAGTCCTATGCTATAGAATTAGAAACCAAGGGAGTAAAACTAGAAGGCATTTAAAGTCTAGGTACAACAACCTATCTGGGCTAACTAGTTTGGTAGTTGAAAGGGATCAGTATAAGGACTGGTTTAATGTGGTATTGGGCATGAAATAAGCCTTGCAAGGGTACCGGATACTAGAATTGTATGGTTTAATGGTTCACTCTGAATGCTAGTGGTAGTTTTGGCTGCTGCAAAAAGTATTTGTAGCCTAATCTAAAAATGCATAAGATATAGAAAGATTAGAGGAGTATGTATTATATCCTCCTTAAGGCAATCTGATAGTATGAAAATCCTACTAGTTTATCTATAGAATTAGGGTACAAGTAGTATAGCAGTTGTCAATCTGGATGGTCTTTAATAAGAAGCAGCATGAGGTTATGGATTGGTGTAATTATAGTGGTAGTTCAGGATGTGAATGTCAGAGGGTTTAAATTGGTAATCTCCTAGTTAGGTTACAGTATAGAACCTTTGGGCAGACTACTTAAATTAGGCTACCAAAAGTTGCACGTGTAGCTATATATACTCTTGTGAACCAAGAATGTATCACTAAAAATACCTAATAAAAAAATCTACCCTTCTGCTACATTGTGAAGATATAAAAAAAAAAAAAAAAAACATAAGGTGAGTATAGGTATTATGATGCAAGACCAATTATGACACACACGTGATATTTTGTAACCAGTAATCTAAATCGAATGATTTTACTACCATTCGATTCGTCAAATCGAGACGAATCGAATGGTGGTAAAATCATCCAATTCTGATCCCTGGATCACAAGATACAATTATTTAAATAAAATGAACAAATTTTTTATTTATAAAGCTTAATAAGAACTAATCGTAACGGGTTTGGGCCCAGTAGCTTACTGGTTAAGCTCCCAAACCCCCACAGACAAGGTCGATGGTTCGAGTCGCGCTGGTGGCAAATTTTTGAATTTGTTACTGTAACCTTAAAATGGAGCCATAATCGGATGCGAAGCCCTGTGGAAAGTCCAAGTGCAAGTACGGTTTTGGAATAGAAATTCCTAGAAGGAGCCCTGATCATGAAGTGCAGGCATCATGTGTAACAGCAGCGTCATAGAAGGTTTAGGCTGTAGAAGATCACGCATATTAGCCCTCTGGTTGGGGTGACTTAGAGGCAACACCAACATCCCTTTATCTCTATATTAGGCAACACCAACATCCTCACATCCAACTTGTGGGGTACTTGCTTGGAAGGATGATCAATGAATCATGCGCATTAGTCTTAATTTAGAAATGGTGCTGGGTACTTGCTTGGGAGAGTGATACAATATTACCAAACTGGAATGGTGAGAGAAGCGGTAAATATGTGAAAGGGCTGTGGTAAAGGATTGCTCTTACCTAAACAAGAAGCACCTCTGGCACCATGGAACAATTAGCTAAAGAAGGTAATTTCATAGAGGCAGGTGAGCTAATCTAGTACATATAAAGAAATCAAGTCAGAGCTCTGGTTATACCTATATGGAAGTCATTAACAAAAGAAACCAGAATATACCAACAATAATGCAATACCAACCAATGAAGAAGAGTCAAGTTGGAAGTCAAGGTAAATTGGGCTACGCCTCCTAGTAATATGATGCAAGGCCTACGGTTGGAAGTAGAATTGCTTGCTACTTAAGGAATTTCATAGTATTAGGCTAGTCTTTAACAAGATAAATCATTAAAGCAACTACACAATAATGTTTTGATAATATACTATATAAGGAAGTACAAATAGATTAGTTAGAAACACTATATCAGAAAAAGAACATTAAGTCCTGGGGTGATAAACCATCGGCAGCAGCAGGGCTTGGCTTAAGATATAGGTTAGTAGTACCTGGGCAAATAAGTGAAAGATTAGGGCATTCATGGAGAGAGATGGCATATAAAGAGATGCAAACTGGTTGAGGCAGTGCAAACCCAAGATAAATCCTTAATTCAACAATGGAATACCAACTCTGTCATGTAGTAAACCTAAATAGGCAGCAAGTTCCTAGCTTGAGATACAAGGCTGTTAGACCATCTGCATCAATTACGATTACACGAATAAAATACCTTAGAGGGAAATTGCAGTGGATCGTGCTTGCAGGTATACCAACTTGGGAG